TGGTTTAACCACATTGAAGACTGAGACTCCATCAGCATATGAAAAATAGGGCAACCGTTATTATTCTTAAAATGTAGATGTAGCCAAAATTTGATAATATTGATCCATGCTTTAGTTTCAAGGAGCCTTTGATTAGTTTCCAGGCAGATGGCCGCATAAGGCACACACATGGGAGCCCCAGTATTTTTCAAAGGAAGTTAGACTGTATTCTTTCCACTTCCTCATTGAAGGCCTTGATCCAAATAGGTACTCCATAAAGCAATCTTGCACTAGTCTTATGACTGAATACTCTAATAGCTGCAGGAATATATTGATTACCCTTGGTAAAGTAAAAACGGATAAGATGAGTACATTGCAGTTTACAGCTTTTATCACTTCCCTGCTATGAGGAACCCAACTGGCTCTATAATGGAAATGTATTCCTGCATGGTTAACTAACAAAGTAATGGAAGCTGTAAAAGGTAAGAAGGATTCCAAGAGCTAGGGGAACTCATTAGCATACCTCATTAGCATATGCCACACCCCCTGACATCACCGGAAGTGTGTCATAAGGGCACACATCCCACCCCCAACGGTCCCAGCCGCCGCCGCCGGCCTTGCAGCTCCACTGCCGAGCCCCATGAGGGGCCCAGCGGTGGACCTGCAAGGCCGGCGGGAGTGCAAGGAAGCCCCGCGAAGGCCCTCCCTGGCCCCAGGCAGGCAGGGGTGGGGAGAGGCAGGGAGGAAGCAACTTACCCTCCCTCTTCTCCTGCCTCCTCCTGGCTGAATGAGGGCCGGAGGCGGGGCGGCCGGAAGCAGGGGGCGGGGCTTCGTCATGTGCCCCGCCCCCCGTACCTCACCCGGGGGAACTGCGCACTGATTTCAGGAGGGGTGTTGGAAGACCTGAGTCAGATTGAGGTGATGAGAGAGGAGGTCCTAAAACTGATAGACAACTTAAAAACTGAAAAATCACCAGGCCCAGATGGCATACATCCGAGAGTTCTGAAAGAACTCAAATGTGAACTTGTAGATCTCCTGACAAAGATATGTAATCTTTCCTTAAAATCTGCCTCCATTCCTGAGGATTGGAAGGTAGCTAATGTCACTCCCATCTTTAAAAAGGGTTCCAGAGG